TCAGTCTGAGCCATATCATCCCATTGCCACCAGCTAGGAGGTTGTGTCTGGTTTTGGGCAGAAAGTCGTGAACGTTGTGGTGCGGAGAAATATGGCTTCACATCGTCGAAATGTCTTCGAAATCTTTTGCCATCAGACTGACGCTCTAGTGCCAGTCCATTACAGCCAATGTTGATGACTTTGAGAACATCCGGACCGAAGATTGGGTCGAATTTCTTAGCGTTATTGTTTCGCATCAGTACCATATCGCCATATCTGAACTGTGAAGGTGCTCTTTTGATAGAGCTGTTGATGAAACTTTGACGCTCCAATTTCTGCTGTATGTCCAGAGATTCCGCATCTTGAACTTCTTGTGGAGTGAGTACTTTGCGGGGAAAATCTTGTTGGTAGCCACCTCTGAACATAAGGTTTCCTGGTGATTGCCCCGTGGCAATGTGAGGGGTAGATCGAAATCCTGTCAGAAAGTTGTTTAGGGCTTTGGTCTTGTCCCTGCCCTCAGCATGTGCGATTTTCATTGCTTTACCGAGAGGTTTCATCAGTGTTTCCACCGGGTTAGCTTGAGGGTGATAAGGGTAGGATGTCTGATGAGTAATGCCACGTCTATCTGAAAATTCCTTGAACTCTCTGGAGTTGAATGGTGGTCCATTGTCCGTTCTATGTGTGTTAGGTTGCCCATAGTAGGTGTATGTTTCCTCTATAGCTGGTATGACATGACGTGCTGCTGTGGAATTCACAATTTTTGCATTTGGGAATCGCGTCTTCATGTCTTGTATTACCACCACATGTTTGTGATCTGGCATAGGACCAAAAAGGTCTATGCTGACTTCTTCCCATGCTGATCTGGATGGAATGATTGACTTCAGTGGCTGTTTGGTTGTCTTATTAGTGAATTGTTGGCACATTTCACAATTTTTTACCTTGTTTTCTGCAAGCTTGTTTAAGCCTGGAATCCAGAAATGGCTGCGAATTCGTCGCTTGAGAATATTAATCCCTGGGTGGCCTCCTTGATGTGCTTTTTCAATGGCTTTTTCCCAGAGTGTCTCTGGCAACACTATCTTGTCTTGCTTCATAATGAGTCCATCAACGAGTGTTAGCTGATCCTGGAATTTCCGGTACTCGTTAAAGCTCGATTTGTGCTCAGGAATCTGTCCTTTGACAATGTATTTTTTTAGCTTCCGCAAAACTCTATCTTTGCTCGTCTCTTGCGCGATGGTTGACATAGATATTGCTTCGATGTAAGGCCCGTACTGAAGCCAGTATACAGTCCTTTCAAGCTCTCCAGCCTCTTTCTGCCACTCTTCGGGTGTTTCATGGAAGGGAGTTGAGTGTCGTGAGAGATAATCTGCTGGATTGTGCTTGCCTGGCTCCCATTGAACTTCGTACAGTATGTCTTGATGTCTCATTTTGATTCTGTCGGTTCTGATTGAGCCTTTGCGCGAATTGCTAAAAATGCTGACCAGTGGCTTATGGTCTGTGATGATTTTCACTGGTGGGCCTCCAGCGATATAGTTGCGGAATCGTCGCAAAGCAAAATCAACAGCTAGTGCTTCGAGATCTAGTTGAGGGTAGCGTTGTTCTTCCGGCTTAGTTGCACGGCTTGCAAACGCTACTGCTTTGGATTCCTGGATGCTTTTTCCTTGGGCGAGGATAGCTGAGATGCCAGATGTATGGGCATCCACGAACACGAAGGTTAAGGAATTTATGTCAAAATATCTTAGCTCTGTGTCTGCTTGCAAAGATTGTTTTAGAGCTTTGAATTCTTTGTTGCATTGTGATGACCACCTAAATTCTTTGTGTTTCTTTGTTAGGCTGCGCAGATGTGTGGTCTTGCTTGACAAGTGTGGAATGAAGTCACCAAATGATTGTACAAAGCACAAGAAGGACATGACTTCATCTTTTGACTGGGGTTTTGTTGCTTTTTTAAGTGACTCCACTTTGACTGGGTCTGGCCGAACCCCATTTTTTGTAACGATCATGCCCCAGAACGGGATTTCTGATTTGCGAAAAATGCATTTGTCTGGGTTGAGTGTCATGCCAACTTGATGTATTTTATTGAGCGCTTCGTGCAAGGATTTGTCGTGCTCTATTTTATCTTTGCCTGCCACTATAACATCGTCATGAATGATATGTACACCCTTGATGTTAGCGAAGACTTGGATCAGCGCTTTAGTTAATTCGCCTGATGCCGGTTTAGCTCCCATTGTTAGTTTTCTGTATCGCATCAGACGCTGTCCAGCATGGAATACTGTTGCAATGCGTGAACTCTCATCTAGGAGAAGTTGGTGGAAGGCTGATTTGAAGTCTAGTTTACTGAAAACTGCACACCCAGACAGCTTGGCTTTGATGTCTTCCACCCGCGGAATTGGGATGTTTGTCGCTTTGATTGCTTTGTTTACAGCTCTAAGATCTATGGTTACTCTGATATTACCATTGTCTTTTGGTGTGAGCACCGGGTTTGAGACCCAAGGTGCTGGACCGCTGTGCTCTTCGATGATTCCTTGTTCTTCCATTTGTACAATAGCCTGTTGGAATCTCTCCCGGAGATGAAATGGAATTGGACGCGCTGCCTGAGCAACAGGAGGTATTTTATTGTTCATATAGAAATGCACTTCATGATCGATCAGTGTTCCCACACCCATGAAGACCTCTGGGTATTTTGCAAAAATGTCTGATTCAGATGAATGGAGCTTTCTTACAGCTCGTAATTTGCCTGAACATTCCTTTGTGCAGTTGTTGAATTTGATGATTCCAAGTTCTTCACAAAGCTGGCCACTGAGTAGTGTTTCTGAATCACCTGGGACTATGTAAAATCGAGCTGTGGTCACTGCGTTTTTGAACATGATACTACCTTCATAATATCCAGCACATCTGATTGGCTTGGAGCCATACGGTCTGAGCTTTATCTTTGTTTTGCACAGAGGCAGTTTCAGTTTGGATGCAGAAGTCTCTGACATCACATTGATGTCTGCTCCCGTGTCCGCGAAACCTTTGATGCGTCTCTCTGCTACAATTATCTCCACTCTGTATCGAGGTTTTGCTATGTTGCGAATAGTAGATCCTGTTTCGTGCGAATTGGCTGGGGTGAAGGCAGGCTTCTTCGAACGGCTATTCTTTGATACTCCCTTCTTACATTGGACTCTATGTATGCGTCTCATTCTGTGCACTCCTTCTTTGGAGCTGGGTGGACTGCTTTCTTCCTCTGTTTCATTCTCAGAGGAGCTGTCAGTTTCCGAATGTGGCTCTGAGGATCTAGTTCTTGGCTTTACCCTGTGTGCTCTTGCTGCTGGTTTCCCTCTACATATTTTTGACCCTTTGAAGTGGCCTTTTCTACCACAAGCGAAGCAGTTTGAATGGCGTGCCTGACATGTTTTTCCACCCTGACATGTCTTCGAAGAACATGTGGTGCACTGGGAAAGAGGATGTTTTGGTCCTGAATCAGCTTTGGATTTCTTTGTTTTACGAGAGTATTTCCCTGGTCTCATCCTGGATATGCTGGTGAAGTCTTCCTCGGTTGTCGAGTTTTCCAGGAGGCGTTGTGCTGTGTGGGATGCAGCCTCTATCTTGCGCCCATTTTCTATCAAGTCCTTAAGCCCCCACTGATTTTTTAGAGCATTCCTTCTAATGTCATCATGTCTCGTTCCAACTATAATTTGGTCGCGTACCATGATATCTGGGATGTCGCAGCCTTCATTGCTGCAGCTGAATTTGCAAGATCGAGCTTCATGCTGCAAACGATGGACAAAGTTATTGAAGCTCTCGTCCTGATCTTGATTTAAGCGATGAAACTCATGATTGGCCAAGGTATAGTTGCGAGTGGGCTCATATCTGGCCTTCATTCTTGCAATGAGGTTTGTGAATGTGAGAAGCGAGCGATCAGTCTCTGCGACAGTGTCTTCAAAGTCTTTTTGAAAGTTGCGAGATGCGAATCGGCCAAGAAATATTTTTCTTTTGTTGATCTGGACCCATGCATTTGTGTCCTCCGTGCCTTGAGGGGGATCCCTCGCAATAGCCTCATATTCATAATGAAACTGGTTGACAAAGTCACAGAATGCGTCATGCACATTCGTGGTGTGCATCTCTGGGTCAAACTTTCCGATGGACCTGGATGGTGATTCAAATTGTTCAGTAGCCATTGTTCCAATTCAAAACTACAGTCAGGATTATCTGTTGTGATGTCTGAGATGGGTTACTATAGTGTCTGTTCCTCCGTTTCACCTCGTCGCCATTAATAAGTTCAGGGCTGTGCTTGCTTGATTGCTTCCTGACAGATAGCCTGGCTTGACTAAGAACAGACCAACAGATGTAGAACTGAGCTTTTATTATCAGTAACAAAGAATATAATCCTAACTGCAGTAAACTACTGTTTTATCTGTAATTTACAGGTTAATAGTTAAAGCAGATTGTTCAGTGCACAAGGCTAGTCTAGTACCAGAGTACCGGCAGACAGGAAGCTCATTGCCATGTACAGGTGGAGGGGTGCAAAGGTCAAGGCATGGCACAAGTGCCATAATGTTGTGTTACTGAAAGGATACATGTTGGAAAAGAAGATTGAAATGAAATTATGTGTTACTGTACATATAAAATAATATTAAAACACTGTACACAATAAAGCACTTTACAGTACACTGAGTCACACTGTATTTTAGGGTGATAGTGAATCTTTTGGGACATATCAGATATGTCAATCCCAACCCCATCTGATTACGCATCCAAAAATTAAATCACTACGACATCACAATCACGTCATAGAGCTTGCCAAATATACGCAAGAGAGAAATAACTGTTCGATTTCGGGTGCTCGTTTGCGCGTCTTGGATGGCAGTTCAAATAGTTTGAAGGGCTCTATTACGTCACTGTGACGTCGTAATGACGTAATTTTTGGATGGTGTAGTCAGTGGGGGTTAGGATTGATACGTGAAAAAATTGTCATGCTACGCCCACTAGAAGTATGTTAGGTAAGAAACTACATGAGACCCGACATTTAATATATGATGATTCATGTGATTCTTTTCTTGCAGTCTATTTTAATATTTCATATCAGTATGTGAAATTAGTCACATAGAACAATCCAGAATAAATGGCTTTGATTTTTACCCAAGGTTCGAAATTATTGTTAAGGCATGTATGCCTGACTGCATCATTGTCACATAAAATACAAACAGAAAATTATCACCTTTCGTCATGCAATAATGGTAGATATGGCCACAGACTTGTAAAGCTATGGGAACAAAAAGGAAAATATACAGCCGAGCCAATAAAGGTTTGGCGAACTGGAGGGAGACTCCCTATGGGCCCTGATAAACTTCCTGGGACGAAATGGACAGCAAAAATTGGGGGAGGACTTCCGCGGCAATTTTTCTGGGTTCAGCATAAAAGATTAACGAAGTCAGACGTTGAAAATGAACTTCTATATTTTGAACGTGTTATGCTTATAAAAGAAGATGACAATCGTTCTGGATATATAGCATTAGTTGGTGGTCCCATGATTCGAAGATGGATTCTTGCTACCGACGAAATGAAAGTAGGCGATGTTGTAAAAAACTGTGCAAAATTAGAAGCTGGTGTGTTCAATGGAAAAAGTGGTGACGCATATCCTTTAAAATTAATACCAACAGGTACAAACGTTTGTTCTGTTGAAATGTACCCGGGTAAAGGTGCAAAATTATCAAGATCTGCTGGGAATACATGTAAATTGTTACGAAAAACTCAAGACACTGCTATTTTACAACTTCCTTCTGGCCGAGAAGTAAGTGTACATCAAGACTGTGTGGCTGTAATAGGTCGTGTATCAAATATTGAACACGAAGATGAAATTTGGGGAAGTGCAGAAAGAAAATTTGAATATGGTATGCGACCAGGTTCAGGACTTTGGCACAGAAAAGATGGCAGACATGGCAGAAAAATTCATCCAAAGAAACCAATGGTAGTCTATGACCAAGCTAAAGTTTTAAAACAAAAGAAATCACTAGAGGACTAGATTATTATTCGGTTCTCTCTGCTTTGAGAATAAATTTTGGGTGATACTACAGCATGGAGTTTATACCATACAATATCGCGAGGTCTACCCTAAAGACGATTTTCTTCTTTTTATAAGGTCAGGCCATGGGGGTCACCTCAGACAGCTCCTGGGTAGATGACATATGGGAGTAGTCATCGCGCTATACTGGCACCAAAATTTGTCACTTGATGGTTAACTCATTTAGTTAATGGTTTATGCAAGTGAAGAGTCTCTGTTCTAGAATGAGATATTCTGTGGATTTGTAGTCACAAATATCATTCCTGAACATGGTTATTGGGTTGCAGATGAATAAGAAAGTGTGGAAAGATTCTTATTATAATGTGTTTCAATTTGAAGAGGAAAAACAGTTGTTATGTTTATTCATCTATAGTGTGTTAATTAGTTGGGCTCATAATACATAAACACCAGTTATGTATTCTTTTTAATGAATCGTTTTGTAAAGAAATATAAATGGAATTTGCCTGTTAATTACAATAGTAGTCAAGTCAATTTTTTCAAACTGAATTATCGATAACATATTCTTTGAGTCGATAAAAGTTGTAATTTCTATGTCGGCCACATTGTTTTGGGTTTTCTAAGTATGTTTATTTTTGGCACATATAGTGAAAATAAGATTTCTTCTTTAAAATAATATAGTAAAGTCCAATTTTGATTAATCATACTCATTTTTTTATTTAATTTTTGAGGTTTTATAACTTCACTAGATTATTAATAATATTGAATCAATATGTCAACTGCTACTCCAACAATATTTCCTGATGTTATTTCACAAATGAAATCACAAGCAACACACGGTCATGATCACAAAGGTTGTGGAGGGAAATGTTCTGCAGAGAAAGAAATGGAAGAAAATTTAAGGAAAATGTCTGATATATTTCAAGTTACAAAATCTGGGTGAGTCATTGCCCTCGTCCTTAGTACTCACACTCAGTCACGGCCCATGAGTGTTTGTTTGCAGGTTGGAACTCGTTGAAGGATGATTATTTGTGATAGGATTGCCTGAATTCTCATTAAAGTTGCCACTTTTAAGCTCATGCATCAAAAATTTTTACCTAATCAACTATTTACATTATTAACTTGGATTGGTAACTTGACGAGAGCTATTTATTTGCTGAACAACATGCCTTGTTGGTCCCCTCTCATTTTGCATAAATATAAAAAAAACCTATCTTATTTTTTATCACATTATGTATGTATCTTACCTAAAAAATTATAAATCTTTTAATATTATATCAGATTTGTGCCTGATTTGTTAATTCTAACAACATTTTCACAGTCTCCTCATTCCTGTACAAGACATTGTTGAAAAAGAAGGTGTAGAAGTTTTATCACAGTTTGATAAAGAGGGTCATTCTCCAATACATTGGGCTGCACTCGGAGGACATACTCATGTTTTGAGATACTTCATCGATAAAAAAGCTCCCATGGATATACACGCGAACAATCAACTTGGTGCACAACCTATTCACTGGGCTTGTGTGAATGGTCATGTTGCTGTTTTAGAGATTTTACTTCAGGTAGGCTGGAATTTTGGGAAGTCTGCGTTCATTTAACCAAACAAATTTAATTAAACAAGAATAATCCATGGTTTTTATTCACTTAAGCTCCAACGCACTGTTGATTGTGAGGTGACTAATTGTTCTAAATACTTACGTTCAGTCTTATTCTAAATAGGTAAAAATGAGGAAAAAAAATCCATAAATTTTTAAATATGTCTAAACCTTAATAATGATTCAACGCACTCTCGATAGTATTGCTGGTCATAACAATTATCTGTAATACCATAATATATTGAAAATTATTTTAAAATCTATCACAAACTATAGGAAAGCAAAATTTAATTGTATTACTAAATGATACATTTATGACGTAAAGACATTATTAGTTGTAATGTATATAACAGGAAATATTTTTAAATGTATATTCAATTACTTCAATTATAAGTTGTAACATATAATACTGTAAAATTTACATTTTAATAATACCAGGTTTTGGAACTTTCTGCAAATTGACATAGCAATTTGAAACTGACCGACCCAGACATGCTATATGTTCAAATATTTGTATTTGGTATAATATTATCAAACAAGAAAATATACTGAAGTTATGAGTGTTTGTATTCCCAATTGAACCAGTGTTTGAATTTATTAGTATGTCTTATGAAGTAGTTTCATATAAATAAATATTTCTATCTTCAGGCTGGTGTATCCATTGATAGTGTTGACAATAAAGGTTGTACTCCATTAATTATTGCTGCTCAATATGGCCGCACCATGCTTGCTGCATTTTTGATGGGAAAAGGAGCCAGGTTACAACTGACTGACAAAGAAGGGGATAATGCTTTACAATGGGCAGCATTCAAAGGTAATGCCTGCCATATATAATTTTTGTACCTTAGCGGTGGCCTAGTGGTTTAGAGCGTTAAACTAAACTATAATCGCAGGTTAAAATTTTGGGTTCAAATCCCCTGCCCACCACTTCACCCGGGTAATATTAAATTTGGTAGTCAATGCAGAATTCTTTCAAACTATGGTAGCCTTATATTTAGCATTTTTGCTTGTGCAGAGACTTGTTTGAAGAGAAAGGCATATAAATACCTAGTTTATATATACAAATATATATCATTGATAAAACTTTTAAAATTTTATACGAATAATATTTACCTGGTATCAAGTTTGGAAGGGTTTTAAATTTACCGCCGTTTGAATTAACTGGTAGCAACAGAACTATTATGTCAAAAATTTTCAACTGTTTCACATTTAATTGCCATTAAACACACCCTAATATTTCGGTACTCCCGTAGTGTGTGTACCAGGTTAGGGTTAGGCCATAATTTTATTCCGATTTTCCTATTTTAGTTCTGTTACGAGTTCAGGGACTGTCTGTGTTGGCCAAGTGAATATACCCCCTGCTCATAGGTTTCAGTTCCACTACCAAACTTGATGTAAACTAGGCGAACAAAATTAGTTACTTCCATATTGGTACACACACACTTCTGGAGCGCCAGTATGTGCAGTGATTTTTATCAAAATTTTTGAAGCCGTGAATATTTTGTGAGTAAATAATAGCGCTTTGATTCATTCTACTATGGTATGCTAACACTGACAAACTAATTGTTGAACAGTTGGTTAATAACAATAAAAAGATTCTGTGACAATCCCCTGCTATTGTATGAAGGTACACAATAGAGACTGTATTACAATGAATACCGCCATCGCTTCATAAGGTTCCGTGGTTTTCAAGAATAACACAATTTAAATTTATATGTAAACTTAAATAAAGCATATTAGTTTGAGTAATACAAACTGAAATGGTTTGCAATGGGGTTGAAAATCTGGTCTACGAATCCTACTTTAAGTGAATTGTGAGAAAATCAAGTGTATAAAAAACTCATTTTTTTTTTCGACAGTTTTATGTTAAAGGGTGGCGATTCCTAACCGTGGGTCTGTGGCCTGCCAAGGGGGCCACAGAGCAGTGGGAATGATGCTAGACGCAAAACTGATTTTACTTTCACCTTCACAAGAAAACACCATTCTTCTTGAGTGCTATGAGCCTCCTGAAGGGGACCACGAGCCATGAAATGTTAGAAACCACTGTTATGGGCTAATCCTGAAAATATCATTTCTTTTTAGGACACTGTGAATTGACAAGATTACTGATTTATTCTGGATTGAATCCACAACAGAAAGATACATTCGGACAAACTCCATTACATCTCGCATGCTTGAGTGGGGATTTATTGACAGTGCAATTACTTTGTGAACAGGTGAAGAAAAAAATTGAAAATATAGACTTTTTATACCAGTTAACAACACAGATTTTATGGTGCTTGGATATCTTCAGATGCAATTTTTTAAAAGAAGAAAAGGATTTTACTATTTCGAATATTTTGAGAAAATATTTTCAAATATGAAATATTGAATACATTGAGCGCAAGTTGATGTGGAAAATTACATAAATCACTATATCTTAAAGGTCATTGTTTCATCTGCGTTATTTCTTACCAGTTCAGATATCGTACATGATATAGCATACATATCTACTTGTCTGGCGGCAAAAAATTTTGGACATTCATTTTGGGCATCCCTGTTGATAACGTAATCAAATAATGAGATCTTGATTGAATACACAACATTCACAAAGTAGTGTTTAGACTTGTACGTTCAGTCGTGCCAGCTTTTGTTCTTATTTTTGCAATAACGATGCCATTCCTTATCAATTCAGGATGGGGTTGAAATGACATTGGAAGATCACAATGGAAATACGCCTTTGAAATTAGCGAAAGGAAGAAATCATAAAGCAATTACTGCATATCTAGAAGAAGGGATAAGTGGGAAAAAAAGATACCTCGGAAAAATTAATTTCAAGTATGTATGGATGATGTTGATTGTTTTTTTATGAAAATGTGTCGGCATCGCAGGTTACACTTCTCTGGTTCAAATTCATTATTACCTATCACAATCTGAACCCGAAAGATTTTGGTGCTTCTAAAATACTATCTTCAGTCGTGTGTAAGCGTTGTATAACAAATATTTTCTTTTATACTGGTAATAACTGAACTGCAAGACACGGAAGAACCTGTATCGTATTTTTAAAATATTATTTTCTCTAACTTTTGAACATTTTATACCTTGGCAAGTGTCAAAAGTTAAAATTTTCCCCTCCACTGTACATAAACTGTCTTTTTCAGTATGTTTTGAACAGAATATGAATAGGCTTCGCTAGGTTAGACATTCTCTCAGGAGCTAGAGCGTAATAACATTCATTTTGCAACAGAACATGTTACAATTTAACAATGTTGCAATCTTTTGGGTGCTCAATGGTCACATTTGGTCATATAATTTCTTGCTTGGAAAAATTGACTCCCGATACTGGTCAAATTTATTCTCGAGAAATGAGATGTATTCACTTTAACCACTCTAAGTCTCTAGTCGCAATTTGCTGCATTAATATGAGCTACCACAACTTTGCTCAAAGACGAGTCTCCTTTAATTCTGAGTACTTCTTGATTTAAGCAAATTCTCTGAAAAATACACTTGAACTCTTGATATATTATTCTTATAGGACAATTTTATTCGGTCCTCCTGGAAAAACAAAATCCACATTTCATTTCATGTTGTTCATGATGTGCTGCTATGGTTATCCTTGTTACCTCTTTAAAATTCTTCCTCACACAATGTTTGAACTGGAATCTTTACACGTCATTTTCTTATTAAATGCGTGAGTATACAATGCTATTAAAATTTATTAGAAACCTTATATACAATTTTGTATGAAATGAATTTTTGAAATGTTCATCATATACTGTACTTAAGGACGTCTAGAGCAAGTTGAATATTCGAATACTTTAAAAATGATTTGTATCCAATTTAGTGAGTTAGTGATTTTTGAAATAATATAGTTTCAAGCCAGAGGTGTGCAACCTTTAATACAGGAGGTCCAGATACAAATAACTGGACGAAACCGTAGGCGTTATATAAATTGGACTCGTGTATATGCTCTGCAACTCAAAGGGATTGGAATTACTACGTACCGTACTACGTACCACGTACCAGATTAAACTAAATTAAAAACTAGTATTGTTGTCCGCACACCTATCAAAAATGGCACTTCTCTGCGCGCCGCTCAATCTTTCCTTGTCGCTCGCATTTGGTCTGTGGGTTGCACACCCCTGTTTTAAACTATTAAAATATGTCCGTGACAAAAAAATAAGCTACATTTTATTTTAGAAAATATTAAAATCGATTAAGCAATGTTTATCTCTCTACGTTATCTACCGGTAATTCCGTCTTAATAATATTTATTGATTAGTGCAATTTCTTAGTTGACTCAATTTAAAATGTACTTACAATATTATGTGTTTGGAAATATTTTTCCAAAATGCATTCGGGATAATGCTTATTCGGTTTTTGCCATACTCTGCTGTATTTATATTTAGTATCGGATTTTTTTCTTCATCTAGGTGGATTGTTTATCAAAGTTGAATAAATGCATTAATATGTTAATCTGTCCTAATACTCTTTTTATCTTTTACCAGTGTTTTTCTATGGTATTGTCTTCTCAAAGTACACAATCTCGATCCTGGATTTTTGCCAAAAAATACTGATTCATATGATCAAGCACTAAAAAAGGTTTGCTATTTTTTCAAAAACAATCACTGTAACCATTAATTATGCTTATCCAAAACAAAATGAATTTATTTGTTGACAAGAACAATAAAACAACAAAAAATCTGTTGATTAATTAAATTTTTTCATTGAAATATGTTGATTAATACTCACATTGGGAGGAATTGTGAAACTCATTTAAGTTGAATATTGGATTTTCATTTATTGCTGCCACTTTCAACGATCACTCATTCAGTCTATACCAGTGCTCCGCAACCGGTGTGCCGCGAGACGATGCCAGGTGTGCCGCACAAGAATTGCAACTTTTCTCTTCTTTTTACAATTTTTTTTTTATCCTTTGTTAATTTTACGTTAGTCTACTCTAGTAATGTAAAGTAAGCCTGCTTTTACGTTAGCTTGAGCAACACCAATTCAAATTCCTGACCTCCCCCCCACTGTGCATTTGTGACGTAACAAGGAGTAGGCCTATATGTCAAGCAGATATATTGTAAAGCCTAATGACCTTTCCCCGAGCATCGACTTCCTTGTTTACTTCATTACATTGGCCAATCAGCGAGATGCAAAAAGTGACGTAAACATGCCCCCTTTTCGTTAGTTTTCAGTTGTGTTTTGGATATTTAAATATAAATCAGATAATACAATGATCACTCTGTCTTCTTAGGAGTTTTAATTTAATTGCAGTAATAAAAAAAATTAGTGTAGAAATAGCTGTGATAGACTGGGCTACAATTCGATACGGGTACTCGCGAAACCACTCTTAAAATAAGCCCTGACAATTTTGCAATGGTAAGGTATAGGAAGAATTTGTCAGGGGTCAAAGGTCGGGGAAAGGTCCATAGTCGAGTCTAAAACATAGGGAAGCAGTTCTTATTATATCACAACAAGCATGTTGCTCCAGTTTTGCACAACTTATATGTGCAAACAAAGCTTTTCCTCTTTATTACTGATCAAAAACGATAAACGATCCTGCATAAAAGATATTGACGGGGAACTTCGAGTTGCTCTTTCACGTATTGATCCTAATATATAGCGATTGTGCTCATTAAAACAACAACATTTCACTCATTGAAATATGAACATAAAACAAGGATACACTTTGTTTTTTTGTTTGTTGTGGTGTGCCGTCGAATTTGGCAAGTTTTATTAGTGTGCCGCAAGTTAAAAAAGGTTGCGGAGCACTGGTCTATACCAAAGATTTCATATTTGTGATGTCTCATTTGAGTCTCTCCACTCAAACAATTGAAATTTGCCTTTTGACTTTGAGACAAAACTTAACGAAATTGTGACATCTGAAGAAATTGTCAACTTCGGATTTAGTGAAATCAAACAGTGAAAAATCAACCTTCCATATTTTGCATTCAATGGCTGATAATGTAGAGACTTGTTCTGAGCAAAGAAATCATATATTTAAACAGATATTTTATACATGTATCATCTCTTTTTACTGTATTATTCAATAAATATCTCTATTTGTTCAGGTTGCTATATTTGATGAATGGAAGCAAGGTGAAAATCCACTTAGTAGACTTTGTCATACATGTCGTCTTGTTCGTCCACTTCGTGCCAAGCATTGTCGTATCACCAACAGATGCGTAAAACACTTTGATCATTACTGTCCATATATTTATAATTGTGTTGGATATCGAAACAGGTTAGCATTATCTTAATGCAATATTTACCAATCTATACTAACGCTGGTTATTTGAATTAAACATGCAATAAAAAAATATGTTTAAAAAGGACCTCACATGGGTGAAAATTCATAATGTTTTTTCTCTTGTCGCTGTGTTGAATCTTTCGCCGTTTGCCCGGTGCCTTATTACTAGTAATGCTGAGTGATGGAAATTTTTCATATATGGAAATAAATTTTTTTGCGACTCAGGTGGTTATCTGAAGTTGGTTATATGGCGCAATGACAAAAAATCTTGCACACCCCTTGCCATGGAGGATTAGTTCTATAAAATCCAGATATATAGTTTCTTTTTTTGAATTGTTCAAAATCAGAGGATTGTGAGACTCCTCATCATTGTAGGTTGGTTCACATAACCGCTGGTAGGTAACGGCTTCCTCCACCATCAAGTTCATGCATCTGAAACCAGATGATAGGCCATGGGTGCTATATGGTTAAGCAATTTATTTGAGTAGATTTCTTTGAGCCAATTTTGCTGTCACACCAATATTACCATATATCTGAAATTCATTTTTAATATTTTCCCTTTTTTTTCAGGCATTATTTTCTTCTTTTCTTGATTGGAATACTCATCACAGAGTTGTTGGGATTGTACATGATTTATTATTGTTATTATTATAAATTTGGTTTCGATTTCATCTTGATGTTGGGAGGCTTCATCATGTTCTTGTTCACTATCATCGCTATGTTCCTCACAGGTTTCACAGTAAGTGTTTATGTTTTGGTATATTGATAGTTTGAATGCTTCATTTCACATAGTTTGTGATTGTGAGGCATATACTATGTTATGATTTTGTGGTATAGTATATAATTTGGGGGGGAAATGATTTCTGGACCATACTAGAATGATTCATGTAAACACTGATTGATTACAAGCTTCGGAATCGAGTAACTCTATAATCAATTGTTCTTTCATACAACAGGATAAATATGAAAAACTATCCTTTTCGGTAAATTGTGTAATGGATTTACTTTGTGCATCAACTATCACAACATCTTTTAGGGCCTCCAGTTTTAACCCAACCGTCCATTGAGAATCCATTGAGTGGTTTCCGAAAAATTGAACCAATGCTAAAATAAAAAAGTTTGCTGTGAACTCTACAATTGAAAAATTAGGCCGAAGGTTGGAAAAAATGCAGTGCTTTCCAGGCTAGCACGAGGCCTGTCTGCCTATTTGTCGCCATATTCACGACCAAGAAGTATGGCCGGGGACACCATTTTGCCACAATTCCGATCAGTATCTGCCAGGGAACAATCTGAAGCAGCTCGATGATGTTCCATGGAACACAGCTCTAGTGTGCCTTCTTTAGTTGCTACCTACTATATGTGTTATATATATATATATATATATACCGGTATATAACCATTATTTTATCAATATTATCTATTCATTTTCAGGCTTATCAAGCTTCTGTTAACTTGACAACAAATGAGAGATTGAATCAAGAAAGATATGATTACTTGAAAGATTGTAACGGACGTTTTATGAATCCATTCGATCAAGGAATCATTGATAATTTGAGAGAATTTTTCCATATGAAATCTCCACTGACTATACTTGGCAATAAAAGATCTGATCAGGGCAGTATCGTCTGAGCACAAAGAAACAAATATTTCATAAATTAAATTGAAGATTGACTGTGATGATGTTGTTTATATCTTAAATACTGGTATATTTTTTAAATCAATTTGAAGCAATTTGATGGAAGTGAACTATGGGACACTCTTCTAGTTTATCAAGCTGTTTAGTAACTCAAGAAAATAAAATGCAAAGTTATCATTATTGGTTTTTCGCATGAAAATCACTGTATTTTTCATAGTTACTCATATCAGGCATAAGGTAAACCGGTAAGAATATTTTTAGATATTAGGCCATTTTTATTTTTGTTATATTTAATCTAGAATGTTGTGTAATGAGCAAGAGATGACCACGGACAGTCACATATCATTATGGTATTATTTTGCTTTTATGGGCATAGATATTATATGTCAGGGATGGCGAACCTTTTTCAATAATTTTATCGCGGAACAGAAGAGAGTGGGTCACAGATATTTAATTCAAGTTTGTATCTATAAGAAACTTCTGAAACAAATCTTATAAGCTGGTGTTGGTGTAGTTTTGGGCTTCACTTATGCAGCACTTCTATCAGGGACTTTTTATAGCACTCGGTTTTATGATATTAGAGTACGAAAACACGCATATGAATTACCAAAAACGTTTAGGATGATGCGTTAAATTATTTTACGGTTCTAGTGTTTGGAGGTAATTCCGCTTTGATAGTGTTATAATTTTCGATCAGCTTCCAACCACATTAAGCCACTTTTACACTGCCCCATTGTTATATCAGAATCTAGATTTTTATTTCAAGTCTGAAAGTTTTTGTTTTCACAACGGCATTGTAGACGATAAACTAATAAAATGCAAAGTAGCATCTAGTTCTCGTATAACCCCTAAAACAGTCTGCAGATGCACCTCCAAAAAAGACAGGCATTGCGAGAGATGAACAGATCAATTGCCTTGTTATGTCATAAACGATGTCAGGTCCAATAGATGAAAAACGGTACACAGCGGTGCATACATGCGTACAAGATTAGGGGTTTTGAAAATTACCATACCTGCCCTAAAATCAACATTTTGAACACGAGCGATCGCAGCCCTCCCTGACTGTCGAACTGACGGTACATTATAATAGTTTAGTTACTGTTAGATTAATTTAAGGCCGGTTTTATCAATTTTCATCACTGATATATAAGCATTTTATTCGAGCCTTCGCTTGGCGGGTCACAGATAAAATGCGGTGGGTCACTTTGTGACCCGCGGGTCAGTGGTTCGCCATCCCTGTTATATGTGATCTATGGATAGCTAAAATTGAATAATGAGTGATTGGGGAGGGGGGAAACCAATAGCATGGTTTAATTACATTGGCAAATCAAATATTGATTGGCAGATTGTTTCTTACATTTATATTATTTTTTATTAAGACATATTCACATGATTTTGGGTCTGGTCCATAGTATGTTACCAGTTATTTAGGTCTATCTAAGATTCTACGCCAATATCTGCTTGGTTTGAACCCTCCATACAATATTTTATTTTGTAGTTCGTATTATGAAGTATGCAAATTTCAGCTTCGCAGGTATGAAGTTGTTTTGTGACAGATGTACTGTATATAGTAGGCTATTTTTATTTGTTTCTCATGGTCATATCTGAATTTCTATGAAGAATTCTTGTTAACATTCAAATTTTGAATGTTTTTTTTTTATTAATTGGGATATTATAAGACTTTTTTATGTACTATTGAAGCAATTTTTATTTGCATTCTTACTTGGTATCTTATTTATGGCATTTTTTTCTGATGTCATGTTTTTTTCATTTAATAATTTCAGTCTGGTGGACGAATATTCATCATGCCAAGAGGTAAACTTGAGATTTTGATCCACAATTTATCAAAATCCACTAATATTCATATGCATGAATTCGCAATTAGTGTATTATTTTAACTTTTTTCAAAATGTTATTTTCTTCTATTCTTTAACCTGTATATCCAAGTCCTGATTACATTAATTCGTCTGAACATAACAACTTGCGAAATTATTTGTTCATATCTCCAGAAACAATTTATCAGTGTTATTTTGGCTTTCATCATGGATAGGTGATGCATGGGCATGCTATTCAAAAGACTTATCATAGAATTTGTGAAATATTATCTGGTGCTAGTGTTTCATTATGTTATTCTTTAAATTAAGCAATTTTGTGAGCTGTTTATGCTCTCATCTGCATTCCTTGTGCTCATTTCTATGTTGGTAATCATCAACATCCACAATGTATATTCAATTTTTTGAACTTGTATACATAGAATTTTATTGGGTACTGGGTGACACAAAAACAGACCAAAGTGATTCGAAACCAATTCTAGGTAGAACATAACTTTTTTTCGAAGCGTTCTAGAATCTAGATTACTGAAACTTTGGGTACAATCATACATAAACAGAATTTAGAGTGTCAAATAAATATTCTTCTTTTTTGTAGAAGTGATAAAAGTGTTTTTAGTCACCCTGTATTATTGTAAGCATGGGTATTATTATTCAACTTCAGAGTTTGTACATATAATTTATAACAGATTACTTATTATTGAAGTTAACGATATTGTGAAGGATTGAAAAAACAAAAATGTTTCTTAAAGCTTAGTGTTGACAAAGCTATTTGAAAATATGTACACGATACAACCAAGTCTTGTTACAAGTTTGGAGGAAATTATTGCACATACTGTAATTGTCATCTGTAATACCAACAGCATCTTTATTACTGATTATGTTATTTTCAAGTTATTATTGTTACGGTAATATTTTATTAACATAACATGTTACACTAACTGCTACAAGAGTAATCCAAAAATGGGAATGACTTGAATAGCCAATGGAGTAGCAGATTCGTTCACCTCATAGTGAGGAATAATTCGGTTCCATGCTACACATAAAGAATATGAAACTACAATGGATCTCTCTATCAAGGGCTACAAGGATATTGCGACGAACATTTTTATTAAAGGGAAAGTAAGCTCCTTGCAGTGCCTACTTGCTGTATATTGAGTGTTGTTAATTTTTTGTTTACAACTTGATAATTTGTGTGCTATGTTCTGTTTTACACATTTTTAGAAACATTTTAATTGACAAATAACTGAATCTCTATTTATGAATAAACTGAAGTAATGATTTCCAAGTGCTTGCCCTTGGTGCATGCTCCATTGCTCCCTATCCGATTCAGATGGATTTCTCAAACTTGTTTGTAGAGCAGGTGCGATCCAAACCGCGTAATTGAATTACTCGTAGTTTACGGGAGCAAATTGCCGGAAGCGCAACAGAACGGGTAAGATTGTGGAGTTCTTTTGCTTTATGGAAAAAAATGAGCTTGCGGAAAACCACATCCAAAAGTCCAGCCCGCGTTGGTCATGAGAGCCAGTTACTCGCTTCCAGTGCGCGGTATTGGTATTGGAAGAAGCCGTATCAGCTGACTGTACCTGCAAAATCCATCAAAACTACATATACAAGATGATGACCGGCCGATTGCTCAGTTCCCTCCAATCAATACCGAAGAAACATTGTTTTTTTTCTGTGACATAATTTCGAAATACCATTTGTCTTCTGATACCTGTGTTCACACATCTCGACTATGACATTTTGTACTTGTATAGCTTAGCAGTCTCTGCAGGTAATTGAATGTATTTTTTTCTTGTTTTTAGTGGTCTATCGATTCCAGGAATACTTTATAGACGTAAATTAGAATAGCAAAATAGTTTTGCTACAAGTTAAACTGGAACATGTCGTAGACCTTGACTTTGACAGAATTTCGAAATAGCATTTTTTCTTCTGATACCCTTGAATTTCTTATTGCTTTACTTTTTTAATATTATCATGACTGTTTTTTTTCTGGTTGACGAATAATAAATCTCTCTTTTTGTTATATTTTCTTTTTTACAAAGGTGCATGTGTAGATATTTGCTATAAGATAGTATTTTCATATAAAGCGGGGAGGAATTGTCAATTAGACGGGTCTGGCATGCAGCAAACCACGTCCGCTTGTTTGTTTACCAGTCCAGATCGGGTGTAAGATTTGTAAATCGCTTTTTTCACAAATAATCAGTATTATAGATATATATGTCACAAATTTTAAATATAAAATAAAACTGATCGAAAAGGAGACCAAAGATTACTACAGATCATGGTAAGTTTATATAGGCCTACGGAATGTATACTTGTTCATTTTCTAACATTTAAATAAGTACCAGCCGACTTTGTAAAGAAGTACAATAATCAAAACAAATTTACGCTTTTTCCGTTATCTCATTGGCCTTGGCCGCATAGTCGTATGTATCCATGGGTATGGCCCCAAAATTTCCAACGTAGGTTTTTTGCAGTGAAACTGGAGCACAAATTCGTACATCTTTTTCAACACTATCTTGCTTTATCGCGAGCGATTCTCTGATAACGCTCCCTGACTAACTATGAATTCCCCCAAACAAACCAACAGAGACAGATGAAATTGCGCGCTTGTAGAACTTCGACAGCGAAGTAAGTCTGGGCCTCCTTTAATTAAGATATCGTTGGCTGCTTTTTTGGGGGGGGGGGGGGGGGGGGGGGGGGTCTGGCTTACGCCCTTGCTCAGCCGCCGCCTTGGTTTCTTCCACATTCTCCGCCAGGTGGTTTGTTCCTGAACTGCAATTTTTTATCATTCGATTCTTTTTTGTCGCTAGTTTTTGTACAGCTTCTCTTATTTTAGTCCAAAATATATCAAGTATGAGTGAGCATTATTATATGGAACTATGATATAATTCCATTCCAATTTAATTCTATCTAATAATGCTCACTCCTACTTGGTATAATCTAGAATATGAAAATACCGTGCTTTTCATTTTATTATATCTCTGTGGTTAAAAGCGTGTCTGTGTATTTGCGTGTAAATTCATTTCATTTATTTAAATTATGTACGTTTTAAAGCTCATTTAGGTTTTGTTTGCTCTCCTGATTCTGCAATCAGTTTTATTCATCTATTTTTACCAATTCATTTTATCGTCTGTTTTGCTGATTATGGAGTCGAATTAAACTTGTACTTATTTGGAGGAAACGTTTTGATTTTTTTCTAGTTTCCAAATTAGATCATGATTAATAATAATTTACATGAATTTTCAAGTTTTTGAATATCAGGGTTTTAATTATCCCCATTTGAAAAACTCATATCGCATGAAAGAATTATAAAATCATACAATACCAAATTATCAATCGATTATATATACGTATTACATCCATGTCCATTTGAAGTTCAGTATAGTTGATCCGTGTCATCATATTATTTTATAAATATGTTACCATCAGTTAATTAATTTGCATGGAAAAATAAAAGTTTTGGAAAAATTTATTTGTTTTAACGATGCACGTGCAGTCACCCGTGCATATCAAAACATACGCACGTGTGCGCTCTTGTTACCATGTTGCCGTATTGTGCTCAGAGTTTATGGGGGTGCTCTTTCCTTAATCAAATAAAAGAATTGAAAAAAGTATATAATTTTGACAGGAAAATTTAAACCAACATTTTACAATTTTAACATGGAAAAACTTTGTTATAATAGCTGAGTTAACGTTATGAAACGACTGAGTACCGTATATTTCTATTTATCATATTTTTGTCTGGCAACATTAAACCTGTAAATTGTACTGTTTTTAATATTTTTCACAAATCTCTACTTTCCGACTTCCTGCACACCTATATCTGTATAGCATGTAATGGAATGCATCTCTTCTCGTTTTCATGTTCGAGCGATTCCAGGAATTGTTCGATAGACATAAATTTGGATAGTGAATTAGTTTTGCTACAAATTTAACTGGTACATGTAGTAGACCTGCTTTAACTTGAAACAATCAGACAGTTCAGCAGTTGATCATGTCATCAAAGAAATCAAAATTTAAACCTCAATGGATTTACTCAGAAGAGCTTGGAGGTTATCAGCTATTTCAAAAGAACAGGTATTTGTATACCATTACTGCATTATGAAGCATGGGGGAGGTGTGGCTAAAAAGAAACGAGACTGACGTCACAGATTGCGCAACACGATTAACCATTGGTAATCAACACTTTTACAGTGTGGTGTAATATGTGTTCTTTGTTCAACAGCTTTTTTGACACAATATCGCAATTATTTTTGCTCTTTAGGAGCCATAGGTGAATGTGATTAATTGCTTGTTGAAAAAAAAATTGCCGTGCGAGATCTGATTGAGTTTTTTGGCGATAGGGGGTTCAATTGCAGAATGACGATTGAGCAATGAATTAACATTAAATTTTGTGTCAAACTTGGAAAAACGGCGACTGCGACTTTGAAGAAATTGTGTGATGTTTATGGAGATTCTTCCATGTCCAGAACAAGAGTTTTTGAATGGCACAAGCGATTTGTGGGATGCAGGGAGGATGTGGAGGATGATTCGAAGTCAGGAAGGCCTTGCACTTCCACAACTGATACCACCATCGAAAAGGTATCAGTTGTGAGTTCAGTTGTGAAAGGCAGTTGATTCGCAGCGACCGTCGCTCAACAATTCGCGTCATTGCGAAGTTGGAAAAGACAAAAAAAAACGGTTCGCACCAGTTTGGTTGACACTTTTGGCTTGTGAAAGGTGAGTGCCAAAATGGTGCCAAGGCTGTTGACTGAGGAGCAGAAAGCTCAACGATTAAATGTTGCCCAGTTGACATGCATTTTTCCAAGTTTGACACAAAATTTAATGTTAATTCATTGCTCAATCGTCATTCTGCAATTGAACCCCCTATCGCCAAAAAACTCAATCAGATCTCGCACGGCAATTTTTTTTTCAACAAGCAATTAATCACATTCACCTATGGCTCCTAAAGAGCAAAAATAATTGCGATATTGTGTCAAAAAAGCTGTTGAACAAAGAACACATATTACACCACACTGTAAAAGTGTTGATTACCAATGGTTAATCGTGTTGCGCAATCTGTGACGTCAGTCTCGTTTCTTTTTAGCCACACCTCGTATGTTTCGTTTGGGTCCATCTACTATGCTCAACACTATTCAGCTATTTTATGAGTCTCCGGGTCTAATCGACTCCAGAATAATTGGACCCCATCCTTAACGCAGAAACAAGAAACAGTACTGGTACTTGCCTATCTGTCCTGTTAAAATTGAAAGATAAATTTTTTTTTTCATTTTTGTATAGTGAACACTCAATTGTTACTTCAATAATATTGTACTGGGCAGTCTCTTTTAACTTTAAATTATTATGGGTGAATTTAATCACTAATACTATGTGTGCTATGTAAATATCTTGCTAATTATTTCAAGCATGTAATCATTGAAAATACCAATATATCTTTAGCAAATCCATCCATTTTAATCAAGACATGCATCTGAAACAAATATTATCTGGCTAACTACTTCCATACCTGACATTAACTGGCAAATGAACGAGAGTCTGTGATGCGCTATATGTTGAGCCATCTTATCGGGTTATCCTTTCCCCCTGAATAATTGGGAAATTCCTATCCTTCCTATCTTATCCAAATAGTTTTCTAAATTGAATATTCTTTGAATTTAGCATCATTTTAGAATATTTAGAAAGCGTTTGGAAATGCAGAATTCTATGTTGTACTATTCCACCATTTGAAAACTGTCTTATTTTTTTAATTTGAGTTTTTAAATTTTGATTCAAGAGAAGACACACCCATCAATGGCAAAGATCAAAGTGTTGACTGTACTCCGTTCATTTCTGATAATGGATTGTTGTCAGCTCAAGTTGTTTTCATGGAACGAAAAGGTAACATACTCGTTTTTAAATATAGTATTTTACAAGCAAGGTCAAGCATGATCCATAGATGCTCCAATTTCTGAGTATGCTAATAGTTTTTAAAGTATTTCTGATTTGTGGGATTGATCAGATATTTTATCAGTAAAATTTCCATACTTGCTATCATACTTGTGAATATGCAGTGCTGAACAGTTACGACTTCCTCCACCATCAAGTCTATGCATTTGAAATAAATAACTGGTCAACTGTTCTGATACCTGAAATGGACGAGAGACTGTGGTATGCCATATAATTGAGCCATCTTCGCAGTTTTTGTTTTTAATAACTATGTAAATCCTACCCTACCTTATAAACTTTCCTCTCTCTCTGGATAAATACGAAAAGTCTTATCCTAATCCCAATACATTTTTGTATATATTTTTCAACAGATATAAAAGTGTCTCATAATGTTAAGAACAGTATTGTGGAACTTCATCCAGATACAATGCAATTGTGTGAAATGAGATTAGGAGGACCTGTGGTTATCAGTACTGCGCCGAATCAACATGGGTCAAAAATGGCTGCTATGCGTGTTTGGCCCAATATCAATATACCTCTTGGTAAGTCTGTTAATGATATAATTTTAGAGGCCAAAATGAATTTACTGAACTAATTCATTTATGCAACATTTTTACATGCTTTTCACTCAGAACAAGTACAATTGTTCAATTGTTCACTGCTATGTGAAGAGCAGGGATATGGCCAGTAATTTTCATAGTGTTGGGGGGTCCTGACATTTCAAATTTCCAAGTTAGACGGTAACAGCTAGCCGTAAAACGTGGGTTTTCAAGAGTTTTGAGAGTCTAAAAATTCTATGTATGATACAGAAAAATGCTTTGCAGATAATAATGCAGAAAAATTTCAAAAGGGAGTGGGGGGGTTGGGTTCTGGAGGGGGATCAGAATCTTTGCTGTTTGGCATCGTCTTCCAATTTATTACTACCAGGGTGAGATGGGTCACCACTCACTACCGAATAAAAATGCATATACACTGAATTTTGCTTCAAAAGAGAATAATCTCAATGTAATTATCGGTGCTTATCATTTTGTATTTCAAGTGTTTAAAATTTTCATAAAATCTTAATGAAAAATCACAAATTTTTTGTTTAAAAAATCTGTTATTTACCGGTATTACTTAATGCCCACATGTAGCTCAAACATCCTTCATATATTTATCTAAATTACTCTTGTTCTGAAAAATCTACTTGTACCAGTGTTGTCTGGTATAAGATACAGTTATGTTTTGTCTTGCATAATTATAATTTAATAATTTGATTTTTAACAACTTCTTTCAGTTCAGATAAAGACGTTATTTTCAGATTAAAAAAAAAAATGTTTCGATCGTTAGTATGTCTCACAATCATTTTAATCTTATTTGTTTTGTAGGAAAAGTTGCATTGACTGAATATTTTTGTCATTATCTACATATAAATGAAGGTGAAACAATCGATATAATTGAAACTGAATCAATGTGTGTTCAAGCTTCAACTGTTACTGCAAATATTGTGAATGCAGGAGAGTTGGAGCAGAAATTTCTAAATTCAGCAAATTTCAAAGAGTATTTGCAACATGTTCTAGGTGAGTTAATGTTTGAACCTTAGGAATGTTATACCATATAATGTTTGTTTAAAATTTGAACCACTCCATGTTTATTTTTTATTACTAATACCTTATTCCTTGGGATGTAATATAGACTTAATATACAATTTAAAATGGTTTGTAATTCCTACTTGAATATGACATATTTTAGTGTTATGTGAGTAGGGAACATGTTGTACGTGACGTGGCTTCACTTAAGCAAATTAGATTCTGCCAAGTTTTTTTTTGCTGTGCTATTTCCCACGTATACAATTACTATTGGACAACACCTCGATACCAAATGTATATGAAATAAATAATAAAATTTACCAAAGATAAAAATCAATAACATTTAGGTTTTTGTTGAAAAAAAAAGCGATCCAATTTTGGGTCGTGACCCTCAGGCTGGAAAACACTGAATTGGAGCAAGTCCATATTTTAATACATCTTTTTGAATACTAATTTGGGTTTGTTTGAATTCAAATTCCTATTCTTATATTGGGTTTTAACTAGATTTTATTGTTTGTTAGCACATTCTTTTTTCTGTATTTTTTATTGAAAATTTAGATCAACAGTGATTACCCCTTCAGCTTGATATCATGGTCATATTTATTCAATTTGTTGAACATTTTGAATGGAAACGAGATTTTTTGTAAGTCAAGTATTGATTTTATTTAGATAAAAGATATTTTTTGATCGGCCAACAATTATCAATCGATTATTTTGGAAAATTCATGCAACTTGAGATTAGAGGAGCTGACGGACAAACAGCTGAAAACCGCTCTATTTCTTTACAAAAGACAGAATTATCGGACATTTCCGACCTGTCTGTTTTAAATGATAGCTTTGCAGATATATCTTTACATAGCAGTGGAAATAACACACAAGAAACATTCATGAAGAAAGGATTTGGTGTCCACAAACTTGATTTTAGTTATTCTTCAACGCCTAAGGAAAAGAAAACTCTCCCATTAACGAAAGATCTTTCTGAAACTTCCGAAGGCTGTAGGAAAACAACGAACGTTTCTTCTTCAGTTTTTTTATTCACTCAAAAAACAAAACTGCAATTTGATACGGAATATTCGACCTCAAACAAGAACAATGTCATAAATAATGATGAAAACTTTCAATATTTTGGAAATGTTAGTTATAGTAGTATCGGAGGTCTTGAACACCAAATTAAAGTGTTGAAAGATATGGTGGAACTACCAATGACGAAATCTCATCTGTTTAAAATGTCTGGTGAGTTTTTTATTCCAATCAATTTTGGGGTTGCTTCAAATCATGTTCCCACCTGCAGACCCCTTATGCTCCTCTGAAGTAACAGCGGACCCACAATTTTCAAACCGAAAATACAATAGAAGAACATAGATAGCATAGAGCTATTAGGACAACATTTAAATCAGCTGCTTCCTCACGTACACAACACAAATTGCATACTAATTTATTGCAACTGAAAGACGCCTATTATTCTCAGTGTGAAGGGTGTGCTTGCAGCTCAGCACATAGTTGTTTTATTAGCGTATACCACAAAAATTACAGGCTCGAGTCCCCCCTGATATTCCCTCGCGGACCCCTTAGGGCTCCAGTTTGATAACCACTGCGTTGAATAAAATATGTTCAGCATGTTTGATTCATGGAATAAATCATGGAACACGTTACTGAGCTTACCTTCCTTGCTTTGTATAAAACTCTGTTTACATCATTTTATCGATCTTAAGATCGGTAAGTATGTTGATAGGTATTTGTCTGTTTGTTTGTCTGTTAGATGCACGCGATATCTCAAGAAGGCGATCTGCTCCAAATTTTGCATGTGCATTCATCATATCTCGATCCAGAAGCCTATTGATTTTGGATGAATTATGTCGTATAATTAGCGTATTAATAATTAATTAGTGATGGGACACACGGTGTCACTATAGAGTCATGAATTGAAACAGCAGTTTCAATCGATAAGTCTTCAGTCTTCAACCGATATTATCGTTTGTTAAATATTTAATGGATTATTAGGTAGTGTTATGTGCAACCCACACTTTTGAATAGTACAATTTGAATAGTTTATAATTTGTAAATACATTTATTTTACAATAATACTATATAGCTGAACAATAATAGTAAAACTACACAGAAAACAAGGTAATGTTTTAGTATTTGTATTTCCTTCCCGAAAACAACAAAATAACTCCGTTACTTCATTTATTATTAGGTGATTTGACTAAGCTTTGTATGTATCTCTTGCAAAATTAGAGCTAATTAGGCTTCCCGCTGCTTGTCAGCAGGGAACCTATTGTATTCCTGTGTTTTATTATTATTATTATTTATTTATTATTATTATTTTTTCAAATTGGTCCTACAAACTTGAAATTCACCTCAAATGTGCAGAAGTTCTCAGCTAGCAATAAAATGCAAATTTTTTTTTACGCGGGAAGCCTGTTAAAGCTGCACGCAGCTCTAGTTTTTCTGTGAATTCCGAATTCTATGATTACCTAAATCAACGTTCATTCAATGAGAAGCAATCTTTTTTGGATCGCTTGAAATACATTTTTAGGATTAACAACTTCTTGATGCACTGTCAATTTTCTTCACAGGTTTATCTCCACCTTCAGGTATATTGTTACATGGACCTCCCGGTACCGGGAAAAGTATGTTAGTGAAAGCATGTGTCAATGAAACAAATGTTAAAACTTTTTTATTACAAGGTGCTAAAATACTTAGCAGGTGAATTGCGCTTTTTTCAATGAAGTTATATTTGTCAGTCCAAGTTTTGTTTTGTAATTTTCTTCTTTTATTATTGAATAGGAAATATTTTATGTGGTTAGGACTACTCAGTTTTGAATATTTTTCATATCACCATTTATTTAGTTCTTTATGCTCTTTTTTATTTGTTTTTGTGATGTATAATAGTTGAAAAATTAAGATGAAACTGTGAAATGTATTACAAAAATACTTTATAAGATTGCAGTATTTTCAAATACATAGGTATAATTTTATTGCCTTTCATAAAAGTGAAAATTAGGATACCAAGATTCAATTTTTGTAAATTTATTTTCTTCATTTTCAAGGTACTTTGGAGACAGTGAACAGAAACTACATGATTTATTCAAAAAGGCAAGAGATGAAGCTCCTTCAGTAATTGTTATTGATGAAATCGATGCAATATGCCCACAACGAGAAACGTCGAAAACTGATGTAGAAAAAAGACTTGTTTCATCATTCATTACTCTACTTGATGGTATATTTAACTGTTCTTGACTTCTTAGTGATATAAGATAGTGTATGGGTACAATTAATTTATGTCTTCAATTATCATCCAAGATAGCTCTCTCTTATTTAATGTATAATCACTCCCTTTTCGAAATATCCCCAGAATTAATTGCACACTCATTGGACACTAATGACACTCATAATCATTGTCTTCAATTCATAGAATATCACTTATTCACTAGGTAAATACCAAGAAAGTGTAACAGGTTACCCAAAAAGTATAACTAGTGCTGATGCAAGATTTAAAAATTCACAGACAGTTGCTAATAAGAGCCAAAATTCTATAAAATTAAGAATGTTTAATGAATGTCTGATGTGCATTCCCAATAGGGAATTCAGGCATATCACAATTTCTGTGTGGCAGTGCTTTCAATTTTTTAATAACAGCCATTAATAAACATCCTTGTATTGTTAACAGCCAAAATCAGGCAGAAATCTTCAATCTTGCATTTTTTTTCCTTATTAGAAAGGAGTAGATGGAATTTTAAATTAATAAATTAAAAATATTTCAATACACATTATTTTGTTATTGCATCTTGCCTATATACGGTACTGCACTTTACCCGCTTGTATAATATATAAATAATTAGTTAATTTTTCTTGAAAATCGAAAGCAGGTGTGTGCAACAGACTGCCCGCGATTCTCAACTCGGGCCCGCCAAGCCATTTAGTGTGGTCCGTTTCAACGCTCAAATTTGTTCCCATCAAAAAGAAATCTTAATCCGACAGTGTATGTTTAAAAAGATGCTCACATTGATTAGAAATACATAATGTTTTTTGCTCTTGTCGCTGCATTAAATCATTTACCATTTTGCCTGTCTAGCAAAGGTTTCTGGAAGTTGGACTTTGTGTTTGTTTCAGGTGTAACCTCATCAAATCAGTCATCTTCAAAGTATGTCATTTTGCTTGCGACAACAAATCGTATCGATGCCTTGGATCCTTCATTACGTAGAGCTGGAAGATTTGATTGTGAGATTGAAATCCCAATCCCATCTCCAAGTGGTAGAATAGAGGTGGAGTTCTTTTTTCGTTTTTATTCAGAAAGAAATTCATATATATTTTTTCCATATGTGTTTTTGATGTTAAATTGTATTATTTGCAAAAGTTATTCATAAAATTTGATTGAAGCAGAACTCTTTGTTCAAAAAAGTAACCCTCTTCTGGATAATCTTTTCAACCTTTTTGATATACTGCTTCTTTAGCCTAATTTCAGATTTTTTTATTTCTCTGTTACTGTGCTTCTCTCTTTTACAGGGTCATTATTTACTGGTAATATGCACAGCCTGCTCTCTGACTTATGTACAGTTTGGATGGTTCATAGCTCGCTGGTGTCAGTGTGGCACACCGTGCTGAGCGTTAGCAATACGCTTGCCTCTGATTACCCTCCCTCCGTTGGTTTGCAGGTTCAAATCCTGTTGAGGATAATTAAGTGCGAGAGGATTGCTGGGCTATTCGCTGTCATAGGGTGGTTCACATAACTGCTGGTCGGTTACGGCTTCATCCACCCAGTCCATGCAGCTGAAAACAAAATAACTGGCTAAATCTAACTAATCCCATACCCGACATGGACTTGTAACCGGACAAGATGATTAAGCCAATAGTACTGAATAATTGAGTAGCACTGCATCCTCCGAGGAATGAGATTCCTTCCTGGTTAGGAGCCATTGGTTTAGAAATCCATATTATTGTCATCTCATTAGACCTATGGTATAGATACAATTTCCTGTTCATCGTATCTAATCAATTTAATGTGCCACATACTAAGTGAAGTTAATAATGACCAGGAACTTCTCTAACTTGTGACGGCAACATGACTTTATTAATAGCATATTAACCAGTAGTAGATCATTGCAACATGTTTACAATAATATTTACTGTGCTTGATATTAAACATGTATGCGCACAAAGTATAGTGGAAAGGCATTTATCTTGGTATTATGCAAGACTAACAAACTTCTCATTCATTTTGTGCTTTCGAGGGAGTTAATCTGTTTCCATTTGCTACAAAAATACAGTGATCATTATAAGTTGTTCATGCAACAAGTAAGCCAAGTGACATTTTTTTAATAATATGTGCGTAGTAAAACATATTGACACAGTCAAGAATTATATAGTGACTATACTACCTGATCAATGGCACTTTTTCATTAACTGCAATCTATGTTATTTGTATACTAATCTTTTTTTTATAGATATTTCAAAGACTCATGTCAACCATCAATCACACCTTAAAATCTAAGGACATTGAACTATTAGCGGAAAAAGCTCATGGTTATGTTGGTGCTGATATTTCTGCTGTATGTAAGGAAGCTGGAATGAAAGCCTTGCAAAGAACACTCAATGACACAGGTTATTTGTTTTACGGAATCATTTAACCTTCTATGCCCGATTAATAACGTATTTTGTTCGGGCTAATATACAAACCAAAATTCTCAACTTCTATGGTGTGGGATTCCATTCTACCTAATCATTTTTTCGCTTAGTTTGTCTTGAATTTTCAGGTCTCGTGTTAACTACCATCTGCTGAAAAAGAATTGACGGTCTATGTTTTATAGAGTACAACTATTCCATCTTTTGTACTCTTTTCACTTTTGACTAGACCTAGTCAAAAGCCATTTCAAGCAAAAGTTGAATTCCATCAATTTTTTAAAAAGTGTAGTGAAAGTAATTTTTTTTTATTTTTGATATCAAAAGACATTGGAAATTTATTGGATTGCATTCATTTCATCAAACAATATAAAATTTCACCCAGGTTTTTGATGGTTTATAAAAAATGGCCTGAAATGTAGAAATTTTGGTATAATTGGCATATTTTGTGATGATTCCTGACACAAAGTGTTTGATTGTATGGTACAGTTATTTCATATCGCACTGGATTTAAGTTAATAAAGTTTAAATGTTTGCAGTGCTGTAGGACATTTCTTCACCCATTTACCGATTTATAACCAGAATTTTAAGAGATGATAGAGGCCGCTATTCCGAAATGGAAAAATGTTCTGTGGTATCACGTCCTGTAGTGTCACATACAATATGTACATTATTGGCATGGATTTACAGTGTTACATTAAGTAACTTGAGCAACACATAGAGGGGTAGTTCAGCTACTGCACCAGAAAATATTATGGGCTCCCACTGTACCATCGCAAAAATTTACAGCATAACACAACGTACTGTTAGTGCATGGTGGATTTGCTGTCCTCTAATGCCACGCTATATTTTACTATATTTTTTTTATCTACTAAGTAAGTCTTGGGTGTAACTTTTGTGCAATTTTTTACATATTCAATAAAGCAACTGATTGGACAATGAAACAAAACATGTAGCTGAAAATGTGAAAATATATTGCATCTAACAACATGCAAAATTTCTGGAATTGTCCTGTAGTGTCACTTGGCATAGCCCAGGTGCTCAAAAAGCATAGCATAGTTATTTAAAAGTTATCGTATGTTATTTAAAAATATATTATATTTATTTGTGTGATGTGTATCTGCTACTGCTACCTTATTAATCTGCAGTTAGGGTGAACACCAGAACCTGTATTCTAGGGGTATTTCCTCTCTAACCTCTCCAAAACATGCAAACGTAAATGCCTGTAAATCAATTAATGATTTATTTTGTGATATTTATTTTATTCAGAAAGCTCAAGTGAAGTCATTGTAAACAATGAAGATTTTCAATTTGGATTGAAACAAGTTCCACCAAGTGCAATGCGGGAACTAATTGTGCAAGTTCCGAAGGTCTGTTCAAGTAATTTTCTCTAGGCATAGTTTCAGGAGACAGGGTGAAAAAATAGAATTTTTTCGTTTAATTATCTATGAAGCTAGGAAAATAGATAAGGTGGCTTTAAGAGAGGGGGGAGGAAACTGTACCCAAACACTGTTAAGTCAAGTCACATGAACACCATGGCATGGGCATAAGCCTCCCTGTGACAGAAGTGTCATCTCCCATTTGGACAGTACATGGATAATCATAGATGTGTGCAATAATCATAGATGTGCAAGTACTTTACGCTTAAGTACAATGCATTTGCTAAGAGAGAAACTTTCGATATTTCTGCATCAGCATATAGACATTGCATTTATTAGTCTTTCTTCTGCTATGACTATTTATTTACCTCTGTAACATATTCGCTTCACTACTAACATGGGTTTTCTATTTCATTTCAATTCTCGCAGATTACAGTCAAGTATACTATAGTTTCAAAATTAAGTACCAGTAATTAAATTTCATGTATTTCTAGGTTCTTTGGTCAGATATTGGTGGCAACTCGGAAGTAAAGAAAAAACTGAAGCAAGCCATTGAATGGCCATTGAAGAATCCTGCCGCTTTTCAAAGACTTGGTATTGAACCGCCACGTGGTGTTCTATTATACGGTCCTCCAGGTTGTTCAAAAACTTTGACAGCGAAAGCATTAGCAACTGAAAGTGGACTCAATTTTATTTCTATAAAGGTAAACTGTATGGTTAATCTGGAGGATTATTGTGTTTATGTTTTTAACTTGTTTGAAATTAGGTTAAAATTCAGGAAAATTGTTAAAACTGTTTTTTATATTTCACTAGTCTATGTAGTCAGAATTTTCGCCTAGTTTTGTAGACCTAACATTTTTTGAGTAATTGAGCATTTCAAGTTTTGTAATATTATTTTACTGTGCGTCATCTGTTTAAATTTGGTGATATCTTGCTGTTTACATTGTTCAGGGACCTGAATTATTCAGCAAATATGTTGGTGATTCTGAGAAAGCAATCAGAAGAATTTTTTTCTAAAGCAAGATCAGCTGCACCGTCAATTGTATTTTTTGACGAACTTGATGCTTTGGCAATTGAACGCGGTGGAAGGTAGATGTTTTTAATTTTGTTAAATTTATCTGGCTATATTCAAATGTTATATTTTTTCACTGTTCGAGTTTACGAGCTTCTTAAAGTTGTGAGCAATTTGCGTACTGTGTCTTGAAGTTTAGATGCAATTAGAACAATTAACTGGTCGATTATATTCATTCACGACTTGGACCGGTAACGGGATCGCTATATGATTAAGCAGTCATATTGGTTTCCACTCCCCCTTGGCTGTATGAAAATCTTAGGAGGTCGTGGGTATGTCAAATTGAAATCGTCCACTGGAGGGCACCATGGCGCAACTCCACGTACAATGTAAGTTGTACACCTGGAAATTGTGCTTCCTTTGTAGCAAGGAAAATCGCAAAAACAATTTTTCTGTTTGTGCTCGGCACCCTATTCACTAAAATCAAGTTCCAAGGCATTTTTAGGGCTGTAGTTTCCAATCGGATATCTGCGTCACCCTAGGGGTTCACCTGTACAGTTTAGCGTTTCCGTATGTTTTCATTCAAATCCAATGGTCAATACTATTATATGAATGTTTTTTGAATATAATCAAATACCTACATATTTGGGTTTGCCACTATTATTAAAACCGGCTACACTTTAAGGATCAAATGGGGGTGTTCCTCGTGCTCATAGAAATGTTTCGTCGGTGGGTTAACGCTCCACCAAAAAGGTTAAACGACTGTCCTAGACTAGAGTGCAGTATGACACAAATACCAATATCCGCCCGAATGCAGCGATTAATTAAATGCCGTTTCCACGGCCATACATGAATACACATATGTGATAAATGTTCTAGTTGACCGCCACTCCACCCATGCTATTTTGGCACATATTGGGACGGATGCACCTTTTATGTGAGATCATCCAAAAAAGTGCACATCATTCCTTTTTTGGCCTGCGTGGCAAAATGAAGCGCCCTTGACAGCCCCATTAGCTGAACACTTTCCGCATTGATGTTAATGGCTTTCAAGCATTATATTCTATAATATCCCGATATTGTGGTAATGCCATAATCCGTACTTTAATGTGTCAAGTCTTCGATAGCACTCTTATCGCCGGCCAGCAATTGTACTTCTAAATAAAAAGTAAATTCAATGACTTTTTTGCGTTATTCGTGTTAAGTGTTCATAGCACATAATTTCGCATATGACTTTCATTACCATTCGAATGTTGGTTATTTGAGCTAGTAATTCTAGTTGAAATTTGGTAACGTTGCAGTCGTTTTTAAAAGTGACAATATTTTTTTTGATTCATCTCAAAATTCAATGACTTCCCAAACCACTTTACGGAGTAGCCCTTATAATGAATTATGATGAAACAATAGGAAACACTTAACTTTGAAAACAGGAGCTGGAACAGCTGGCTCGTGTCCAATCATGATCTAATTTATATATAAATAAAATATAAGAAAGTTAATTCCTGAGATTGTCGCTAGAGTACGCTTCATGTATCGCTTTACCCTGGTTACTCAATAAATATTTTTGCCAAGTTTCGAAAAAAGCTTTCTTCAATGGCTAAGATAAATTGATCTGAAGTGGGGATACCTAATGTGTAATTTTTACGTTACTCTGGATCGTTTTATAAATTATGGTTGTTGTTGTTGTATGGATAAAAATAGATATTCTTTTCTTCTGCTGGACCAATCAATCCTCGCCGGAACTTATCCGATCCGTTCCGTTATTTCTGCTTCACTATGCATAAATCATACATAGCATTAGAAGCTGGTGTACTGCAAGGCGACTCATTAGCGCCCTTTTTATTTGTGATCTTCCTAGATTACGGTTTTGAAATATTCTCTCTACCAACATAGGAAATATGGTATAACGATAACTCCAACGAGAAGCAGGCGATACCCAACATAAAAATATGCATAAAAGTACTCTATTTTTTCAATCTTCAATGAATCTTAAGCGTAAGTCACACCCCCACTTTTGTACAGTTACAATAGTTTACAAATTGTTCGTGAATAAGTGTCATAGTAATAACAACAGATAACTAAACTGAACAGCAAATACAAAACGAAATTACTCTCGAAAAGGACAAAATACTCGTTGGAAAACGTGGCTCTGACCACTAGTACATCGTTTTTATTTTATATTTACCTGTTGCTCTCGTATTACTATTGTAATTACCATCGATTTTCATGGAGTAGGAATTTGATTAGAAGCGAACTTGAGTGAGTGGGTGGGTGCAGCATTCCAATTTGCCATAGGATGCACATCGAGGCCCCTGCCTACTTCTTATCATCGGCCGTGTATGAACGAATTAAAGTTATTCTCAATTCTGATGACATTGAAAGATAGATTGTGTAACAATTCATTGAGAAGTTTTCAAGCCTCCTTTATGTCATAAAATGGTCAATATATTTGAACGAGTGGACTGTGCTACAGTGGACAATGACCACTTTAGCCACATCCGTCGTTATGTAACATTTAGCGTTGTTGCAAGAATTTCGCAACAATTTGCTAATTCTCACGTTCGCACGTTCCACGAATAGGGCGTAGACAATTTTTTGAGGAGGGGGGGGGGGGTCTTGCCCGCCTTATTCCCACGTATTTTTGTATAAAACAGACTTTCGACTTACTGTGTTCTGTAGCTTTTTGTTAGCTAGGTATTTTATAGGTGGGGCGCGAAACTTGACAAATTCCTAAAAGGGGGCGCGTCTCTAGTTTAAGAACCACTGAACTAAAAAAAATAATAAAATAAATAACACATGTGAAGCCGTGTTACGTCATAGTTAGGGTGAAGCATAATATAGTTCAGTCGTCTACATTAAAACGGTTAATGGTAAACATATTAAGCCTATACAGACATGCTGTAATACTCAAGACCATTGGTTCGAATCACATGCCCGTCAACCTCATTCAGGGCGTAATGAATCGGATATTTCTTTTCAAATCTAAAAAAAAAAAATCTGATTTACCAAACACTAACCACCGATTTTATAAAGGCAATCAAAAATTTTGGCATCATGGGTGCACTTTTTGCTTAGAGAGGGATCACGAACTAATCAGGTTGTAACGAACTTAACATTTTATTTCATCAGTAGCCAAATAGTTCGAAACCAAAGTCATGTGCCTCTCAATGTTTGATTCCTTTCCAAACTTTTGAAACAACAATCAATCTTGCGGTTTTGCTTTGGAATAGGGAATATAAGGTTGAGTTATAAGGCAATCTATCCATATCTACATTTTAATTTTATTGATATTTTTTTGCGGCAAGAAAACCTTCAAAATGCAATTCCAAATTCTAGAATGACGTATAGGCCAGAACGTTAGCTTTGATAAAGTTTGAAGGTTCACAAAAAGAGAAAATATGGGAAAAAATATCAAGATTTATGGCAAACTTAGATTATAATGTGATAATTGTTTTAAATTAATTTTGTGTTTTTTTCAAAATTAGCTCACAACTTGAATATCATTCCAACTTTTTCGCAGACCAAAGCACAATCACCCTGGCTCGTTTTTGGGACAGTTTTGGGTGTTATCGAAAAGAACCCCCTAAAATATGCGTTTTACCATACCAGGTTGCAATATATTGGGTACCGAACGCAAAACCGAATATCATTTTATTCTCTTTATCTTGATACTTAGAAGTATCTGTCAAAGTTTTAATTAATGAGCATCTCGTATTCATAAAAATTTGAATTGATGTTCAGTAATAAGTTGTAAACATTGCTAGATTGGGTTGGAATGACCGCTGCGTCATGGTGCAGAATTGAAACTGGCTGGCTATTCATTTCATCATACTAGAAAGCTATTCATATGTCGAGAGTCTATTCCATTTCTGTTGACTCGCCATTTTCAATACCACCCACTTTTCGTCAACCTCTTGATAATGGAATACAGCCTTCAACGACTGGGCGAATGACATCTAGCTTGTTATATTTGATGGATTAGGTTGTTATAAGTAGCTGTTGGGTTACAATTTGTTTGAGTTCATTACTGTTTCTCTCTTTTATATAAAGCTGTTTAAATAGTAAATTTATTTGTTTATACACAAGGGGGTGTGGCGTAAAATATTTTTATTGATTGATACCGGGCGAATCAAATTGCGATCCTGAACTTGAAACATTTTTGTAATCGTGTTTGATTTCGTGTCATTTTTAGCTGATTGGTATTTTTACCTTGTGTAAACAATATAATTAACGGGTAATCTAGATTTTCCCAGCCTTGTGAAATTTTGCCTGTAGTATTGAAAATATCTTTGCTTATTTACGAAGCTGGCTATTATAACTGTAAAAAAGCCATCAAAGTGTGAGATGCAGGTATCACTAGCTAACAATCCAATAAATTAAAAAAAGAAAGAAAGCAGTATCTATACATACCGAGGGGTGGGGGTTGGCGTGTGTGTAGGTAGTTAGTTTCGAAATAGGTAACGAGATAAATGTTGCTAATAATAATGAAAAAGGTTAGGTGCCACTGGAGTGAACAGAACAGACTTTTAGATACATAGTATATATATTTTTTTATCTAAATGCGCTTTTTCATCTTTAATCATACCATATTGTGTTGTCGCCACTTTTATCACTGCAATATTCTGATGGAATAATTTTTACAAAAAAAGTTGTAAATTGACTATTCGTCTTTGTTGCTGTATCTGAATATAAAATGTGCCCGGCACAGGTAAATTGCTTCATGGAGAATACCTTGAACGCCTCATGCATATATTATATCATTCACAGTTCTTCTAAAGGCGGAGGTAGTGTTGCTGATCGGGTTTTGGCGGCTATGCTTACTGAAATGGACGGCGTGGAACAGAGACGTGACGTCATCGTGGTTGCAGCAACAAATCGACCAGATATGATAGATAAGGTTAGTGACGTCACGAAAAATCATTCGTAGAAAATTCTCCACATTATCTTCATGCCAGTCTCATTTCCCATTTTTTGAATGAAGTAGCTCGATAGCAACATCTCCATATTTAACTATTGTTTTTCAGTAAGTTTATTGCATATTACGTTTACTGTAATCGTTTATTTGGATCTTCGGACCGATCTACGTTGGGGTCATAGGTTATACAGCTCGAATTCAAAGTGCATGCTTGCCTCTTCCCCCACGTTTCTATAAATTGTGTGGGCAGTGCCGACCCTGAGAATTCTGGTCCAAAAGATAGTAACAAACCCTTGTTCGTAGTGACGGAAAAAGAGTTCATCTTAAGAATGAGCAGACGCATCTTTGCTTTCGGCATATTTACTCAAAAATATTAACATGTAAATGTCACGTTGAATGCCTCGCTGTTTCGATGAGCTTGGGTTAGACATGTAACTTGGGATTCAACTTCACATCTTTGTCTTGAAAGAAATAATTCCATTTCGTTGGATCATTTTGTTACCAAATTTTTGGTAATGTTCTGATCAGAAGCGAATGTACGATTTTACTAATAACCAGACTGCCATTTTCCACAGATCATCAACAGAAAGTATTCTCTTCGTCTGGACTTATAGTTTCATTTCTTGTACAAAATGTTTATAATTTGCAAGAAAGTGGACAGGGTTACCTACCACCACAACTGTCGAAATTTCTTGTCGAAGATAATTGCGTTTCAGACTTTCTTTTTATTTTGTAGTTTCCATTAAATCAATAGCTGGTCGAAATGTCGTTCCAGGCCTTGCTTTGGTCGTGGTTTTCTACATTTATTTTCTAATTTTTTATTCTTATATCTAGTATATCATTTTAAACAAAAATACATAATACCTACGCCCACATACAAGCAATCATATAGTAACTCGTCGTCATCCACATGTAGTGTATATCTGATTCTTTTTTTTTTATTGCAACGACTCGTGTATTTCTTCTTCTGGTCGAACCGCAACCATTAATTAATTAGTTTCACGTCATATTTATCTCGAAATAAAATCTCCGCTTGTAATATTAAATAATTTTAGTTTTAATTGCAATTAGAGATAATCAACCTCTTTGTTTCCCATATATAAATCTTACGCTGCATCAAACTTAAAATAGCTTGTTTGTTTACGGATAACACTAAATATCGCGTGGTTACGCCTCCCGTGCCTCGTTGCTGGCCGTTTATCTATATCCGAATTATGTACCCGAGATCAGCTTCTTGAGTTTACTTTTCAAATGTTTTAGCGCGATCTTTCTCAATATAAAATTTGTCCATACGTGTTCAGTTTTTTAATCTGTTAGCTTTTCAAAAATTGAAAAAAAAAAAATTGTATTTTAGCTGGTCCTCAACAAGACAACAAATGTATTTTCGACTTGACCTGACAGCACTTCTTTCTATTTCTGCCTTAATTTCCCAATTTCCTACGACTCTTACAAATATATTTTTCCAACAAAATGCCCAATTTGTGATTATGAGCTTATGCTTTCCCTCCGTTATCACCAGTTTATGGATTATCTATCCATTTCATCGTCGGATGCAGATTTTGCACGTTTTCTGGAAGATTTTTTCACCCAAAAACGTGTGAAGCCACCAAATACTTCTAGTGAGAAGATAAGAATTGGTGGGATATGTCCTGTAGAATTTAATATTCATGCATTGTGGTTATTTAATCAACAGTGGAATTGTTTTCGAATCTTTCATTTTTGGTACTGCCTGCTAAGGTTATAGGAGAGTTAAAAAATTCCATAATCGGAGCAAAATTTTTTAATTCGTACTCGGTAATTTTAGTCGAGTTGAAAATTTTTGCTTGTTTTAAAAATTTAAATTTTTAAATTTCTTGTTCTTATGGATTTGTCATTGAGTCATTGAATTTCTTCAACTGCAGATCTTCGAAATATGACCTCATACCAGTTATACTTTGCGAACTATCAGCAAAAAGGTGCCGGCCTTGCCCAAAACATTGCAGACTAATATTAAAGATGAAAGCGTCTCATTTATACGTTGAAATGAGTTTCGAATGTAAAAAGTTCGCACAATATGACCTAATTTATTTAGTTTATAAGAAGGTACCATTCAGCATTCAGGCCTGATTCCGCCCAGAAAAGTAAAAAAGCGATGATTGTGATGTGTATTTTGATATTTTGATTCGATGTTTGTATTCGTTGGAAGCAAAACGCACCTTCGTCTTATTAATCTGGGTGTGGAATCATGTTGATTAAAATTATGCAAGGCTAGGTCATTTAGATAAGTATATGTAAAACCTGAAAGAAACTTTTTGCCAGCTTCAAACCCAACTTCACATATATAGATATATATTTACTACACTTTAAAGCAGCGCTCTGGTGTCGGGTGGTGGTGTTGCTTTGGTTTTATGATTGCACGGTTGATGGACGTTATATGCTTCCAGTCAGTTATTTCCGTTTTTTTTATTGGCTTTTGCTGCTGCCTTTTTCAGGTATTGCATCTAATGTATTATAAAATTTCCTGACTTGGCGAAGTTTAAATTTCCGACATAATGAAAATAGCTTTTACGAATGACGAATAAGTTGTCTAAATTTTTTTCTCGGACTCTGGTATGATGTCGAGGCTGATTTTTTAATTCTACCTCGAGATCAGCAGTCGTAGTTCGATACGGTTTAATTGAACGATATTCGAGTGGTTCCTTAAGGTGGAGCATAAGATCTGTAAAATTGACGCAAATCACTTTTGCTATATCCCGTGGCATCTGTCATTACTTATCGATTTTAATCGGTAAGTATGTATTTGTCTGTCTGTCTGTTAGATCCACGCGATATCTCACGAAATCGAGATTGAATCTGCTCCAGATTTTGCATGTGCATTCATCATATGTCGTACCAGAAGCCTATTGATTCTGGATGAATTATGTCGTATAATTAGCGAGTTATCAATTAATTAGTTATGGGATACAAGGTGTGACTATACAGTAAGAGCGCTGTTTTGGGGATCCCCTAACTTTAATCTAATAAGTCTTCGGTCTCTGACCGATATTCTCGTTTATGATCTTTTTGATAAAATTATTCATTCACACAAATCACTGTACCAAAGTTAAATAGATGGTTTCAAAAAGTAGTGAACAACACTTAGGAATAGATTATTTGTACATACGTTTTTTTTGCAAAATACTTAAACAGAACATTTGAACTTCTGTTTGTGTATGATTTACCCATTTTTACCCAGAAGTTCCACTTATCTGGAACGATTTGCACATTAGTTATTTTTCTAAAATACGTTTTAAACGACCCGGGTTCTATTTTTATTTTGGTCACGCTTTGAAATATCAGAAAAACTTTTCTTTACCAAAAACCAGTATTGCGCATGTCTTCTTGGAAAATAACGCCCTCGTCGTAATTTAGGATTTTTCTGTCCAAATTTATTCCAATGCCCGTATCCACTGTGGAAATATAACCAAATGTGCAGTCCATATTTCATAATCATATCTGATTGGAACAAAGGGAGTGTATACGCTTCGCACGAAAAATTGCCATATTTCATGCCAAACGTTTTGAATCACCATGACTATTTTAAAATGATGCTATTTTTCGGCGCTCCAGACGTTTGTGTACCAATATGGGGGTAACTAATTTTGTTTGACGGGACTGAAGCCTATGGGTATTCATTTGGCTAACACAGACAGTTCCCGAACTCGTAATAGAACTAAAATAAGGAAAATCGGAAAAAAATTATGGCCTAACCTTAACCTGATACACACTACGGTAGTACCATTTTTTCCGCACCGCTTGTCAATTATGGTGAAAATTCAGTAGATTTTTTGTATTTTTTTTTACAATTTACTGATGTCTGTATTTTCATCTGTGTTTACATTCTTTTAATTCCGAGCTTACGTTGATTGATGAAGGCGGAAGAAGTGTGCCTGACCTGTCGCCACCTCTGCCTAACTATGACATATCGACATACCGCTGCAGCTCAATTCATTTCGGCCTCTACGTGGAAATTACGCATTAACGATGAACAGGCTTTCCTAACAGCAATGTGCTTCACTGATAGTCTGTAATAACGTTTTCACGAATGCCTACGCTTTAGAATTGTATTAGTTATGACGAATGACAAATTTAGTCGGCCTGAGCCAGCAGGGACAATTTTTGTATGGGACTTTTTTACGCCTTCTGTACGAACGAGACCGTGTGCAAGAAGTCTGATATGTAAAGTGCTACTATTTCTGTAAGACGCATTTGTACGGCTTCAGGTATAGTTTTGGTCAAGAATTGACGGAACGATAGCATATAAGGCTATAATCGATACATGTATTTTGTGATTTTTTATTATTTTGACAGTGCTTTTAAAAATCAACGGTATATTTACTACTATTTTACTAGCAATCATGAACTATACACAGCCGGCGCACTCCATCTATGTCTTATGCTCAATAAATGCTATGACTTGATTTACTTGTGAACTCCACTACGTTCATCGTAATTTTTTACAGTAATGATGACCATGAACCCGAGTATAATGATAATATCAATTGTATGATATTACCCAAAACACACAGACAGCAGTAATTTACCGCATAACGCCCTAATGGTGCGTGTCTTCCGGAGATTACAAAACGATTTATCAAATTTAGGAATTGCGGACAAAGCTATGTATACATGTGTGCGTTTGAATTTGATGGGTCCAGATGTTAAAATTATACAAATGTTAGATATATATGCGGGCTTTGTTCAATTTTTTTTTGCAGTTATTTTTTGGTCCACGTGTTCGATTTCTAGCGCGAACGGATATTTTATATATAACTCGTGAAGCGAATGACCTATTCTGTCGGTTTCATACCTGGTGGTCATTGTTCGATTTTTGCGTTTATTGGGCCACGTTTCCGTTTTTGTTTTTTAGCGCGAACGGATATTTTATAACGCAATCGTGAAGTGGATGGCTCTTTCTGTCCGTTTGAAAGTAGGTAGTCATTGTTAAATTTTCGCATTTTTTCGACCAATGTGAAATTTGTGTTCCATTTTAAGAGTAAACGCATGCACAACATGTCGGCCATGGAGTGAATGACACATTCTGTCCGTCTTCCATATTCGTGGATAGTTAAAACTGCTAACGCGAAAACGAATCGGAGGGATATATTTCCTTTTGCGAAATTATCCTAAGGATTTGGGAAAACCGCAT